TGATGAGGGCAACAAATGTATAGATGTGCTTTACACAATTGATCTATGTATTGTGATGAATTTTATGAGCCCCAATAAATTGATTTTTTTTTAAACTGGAAAATAAAAGAAGAGGGTAAAAGAAAATAAAGGATAAAAGAATTAAAAAAAAAAAAGAGTAGCCTCTCCTAGTTTCTCCACACCCATTTTGGTTATCTCCACGATGGCCCTCCAATCCATGCCCTGTACTGTCACCAAAAGGACGGTCCTAAAACAAATGCTGTCTCCTGCTTAAACTTTGCATTACTGCCCTCCTTAAAGAAACCTCAGCTCAAGGCTCACTTGTTTGCACTCATCAGCTTCTGAGCCCAAATCATCCCATCGCCCACTGCCTGCTCTCTCCCACACCATGCTTTCAGGTACTACGTCCCTCTACCCTCCATCTCCCTAACACAATTCTTCTTCCATCCTTCAAGATGCTATTCAAAAGGATTGCCCATATTTAGCTTATTGCTAATCAACTAGTTTCTTTAAAACTACTTTATTGGCACTTCACCCACATGTGACACAATTCAATAGTTCAATCATATCAAGAAGAGTTGTGCATATGGTGTAGTACAGCACCGAGGAATCACACATCATTCCTCTAGTTCCTGAATACTTCCTACCCCCCCATCCCCCCGCTACCATGAACCAGTTCTGCCTTACAAACCTGGCTAGACCAGAGAACACAAATTGGTGCAGATAAGAGCTCTCGATACTGTACACTAGTACAGATAGGGACTGGAAACACAGGAAACCCAGGACAGATGATCCCGTCAGGACCCGTGGTGAGAGTGGCGATACCAGGAGGGTGGAGGGAAGGTGGGGTAGAAAGGGGGAACCAATTACAAGGATCTACATATAACCTCCTCCCTGGAGGACCGACAACAGAAAAGTGGGTGAAGGGAGACGTGGGACAGTGTAAGATATAACAAAATAATAATAATTTATAAATTATCAAGGGTTCACGAGGGAGGGGGTGACGGGCTGGGAGGGGGAAAATGAGGAGCTGATACCAAGGGCTCAAGTAAAAAGCAAATGTTTTGAGAATGATGATGGCAACATATGTACAAGGGTGCTTGACACAATGGACGGATGTATGGATTGTGATAAGAGTTGTAGACGCCCCCAATAAAATGATTTTGAATAAAAAAACAAACAAACAAATGAGAGCTCTCGACACATGGAATTCAGGACAAATAAACCCCTCAAGAACTGCGTGAGAGTAGCAATATCATGAGAGTTGGGTCAGGGTCGGGGAGGGGGAAAGTGAGAAAGGGAGAACCCATCACAAGATTGGATATGTAGCCCGCACCCTGAAGGATAACCGAAATGTGAGTGGAAGGAGACAAGGGACAATGTAAGAGATGAAATAAAAATACAATATATAATTGATCAAGGGTTCCCGAGGGCGGGAATGGGGGAGGGAGGGAGGGGAAAAAGAGGCGCTGAACCAAGGTTCGCAAGTAGACAATGTTTTGGAAATGATGATGGCAGCATAGGGACAAATAAGGTGGATACAATGGATGTATGGAATGTTTTAAGAGCTGTAAGAGCCCCCAATAAAATGACTTAAAATAAACTAAAAAAATGGGGGGGGCTAAATTTCCTTGTGGGTGTCTGTTTAAAAGAAGAAGAAGGGTTGTGCAATCCTCACCACGATCAATTTCAGGCTATTATCTTCTTCCTTGTACTCATTGTTATTTGTGTCATTGTGTTTTTAATTGTGGTAAGATGGACACAACAAAACAGCCTTTAATTCAACAACTTTGACATGGATACTTCATTGTGGACCACCATTATGGATATCCATTTCCAAGTGACTCCACCACCATTAACATCAACTCAATACCCCCTAAGCAAAAGCTCTTCCTCCTTCCCCCATAGGTCAAGTCTGGTTTCTTTCCCCCATCTTTTCAGTAGTATGTTGATATAATATTCACATATCCTGTACTTCCATCGTTAAATTGCTTTTAAAAAGAGTTGGAGCTCCATCATCACAATCAGTTCTAATGCTCCCTCTCCCCGGCCCCCAGCCCAGGTTGTTTCAAGAGAGATGACAGCAAGAACCTAAGTAAGCCATGCATGTTGTTCCCGATACTCCTAGCTCCAGGCCTTCCCTGAGTCGCAGACCTCCTGGGCCCAGCTGCCCAGACCCCTCCTTGTAGAAAGAAGTTACTCAAGTGTTCCAATCCGAGTCATGTGAGCCCCAAACAAAGACTATAGGAGAACGTTGAAGGAAAGAAGCCCCAAACCAGGACAAATACTCGGGGGAGCCCATAAGGGAGTGGTCAGACTGTGTTAACACAGTGACACAGTGAAGACCACCATAATGAAGGCCACCCACAGGAGGATGTGCTATCCACTTCCCATGCACCTTCGGTGATGCTTGGGATTTCCAAGCAAGGCGGCAATTGCTGGAGTCCCCGAATCAAGAAGTACAAGGGTGAATCTAGAAACGCTGTATTGGGGTTGAGATTGTACCACTTGAAAGATGTAGCAAGGCATAAGCAATGACTATGAAAGCCATCCAGACCAAGGAAATTCCAGGCAAGGCCTGGGAAAATATCCAGAGCTCAACAGAAACGGCTCAGTTCTCAGCGTTAAAAATACAAAGACTTGTATGCACACAAAGATCAATGTGTTCGCATCAGTAAAGGAAATGCTCCTCTTTACCCAGTACTCAGTTCCTGTCACCGAGTGCATTCCGTCTCCTTGCGACCCTGAAGGCCATAGAGAGTTGCCGGCCTTGGGGTTTCGGAGGGTTCCCATCTTTATAGGAGCAGGAAACCTCATGATCCTCCAGTAGTGCTTGTTCCCATTCATAGTCCTTACACTCCCAGGGCTCCTGTCATGTCTTCATTCATTTACAGCAAGCCGAACTACTGAATCAACAACTAATAATAATCCATATAAATAAACTGGATAATAAATGAGTAAGTTAAAACTACGACAGCATCAGATGAAAACAAGATATTTGGTAAGTTCACTACAATGTAAAATGTAATAGAGACTTTAAACAATTAAATCAATTAATACATATTAATATATTCAACAACACCACAGAGTATGCAAAAGAAAAAAAGGTACTGAGGTACTTATCACTCACAGGAGTCCTTAGGGGAACTGGTTTTTGAATGAAGAATATTGTTTTATCTTTATTGGAAACAACCATTTTTATAGATCAGAGCTAGGGACTTTTGAACATATGCACGCCGACCTTCTTAAATAATAAAAGGCAAGGAAGGTGCCCAGTAAAACTCTAGGAAGACCTATCAAAAAGGATTAGATTTCCTTCTCTGGAATTTATGACGAAGGAGGGGAAGTGGTTAGCAGTATCAATGAGTTAAAGGCAATCTTGTTCAGAATCAAAGTGGCCAAATGCATCTCTGAGGCATTTGGTTTTAGGTCTGCTGAAAGAGCGTAGAGCTAAAAAAAGGAAGTTAGCACATGGCCTCTCTATTATTGTATGCTGCCATGGTGATTCCCAGAGTAGCAGGAAGGGTTGTGTACTGTATTACATAGGCTAGAATTAGTAGACATAAAGGGGCATGGTTAAATCGGAGCAGTTGTCTGAGCTTGAAATTCCTTTGCTCTTTTAGGTTTGGGTTTGGGTTTGGGATTTTGCTGCCTTTGTGTAATCGAAATGTAACCTTGTTTCAAACTTTCGAGCAACAGACTTTCCCATTTCTGTTCTAGTCTTATTTTTGACATAAACAATCAAGTATAAATAGGTTCTGCTAGCCAATTAAAAGCACCAGGTTTTAGTAAAACTACTAAGAAAGTCCAAGCGTTATAAGCAAAAAGGCTCTCAAAAGCTTCACTTACCACTGGATTTAATTTCTCGGACATAATTACTAGGGAACCAGCCTGTTCGCCCATTTAATGTGCCTTCCCACCAGCCACCTTCTTCAACTCGAGTGACGTAAATGATGTCCCCTTTACAGACTGACAGTTCATCTTCATTAGTCTGCTTAAAGTTGAATCTCGCCTTTACAATCAACTGACTTCCATTTTCCGTCATCTCCTGGAGAAAGACAAGCCACGCCGGGTTAAGTGTTCACCAAAATGAAGGAGGGGTGGAAAGGATAGGAAGTAGGTGGACAGGGTGGGGTGGCCGGGGATCAAACCTCTCAGCCCTGGGTTTCTGATTGAGGAGCCCAGTCTCGGAGAGAAACTGCATGCAACCTTACAGTATGTGTATTTTAAAAGAGTTCATATCCTTCATTTCCTTCGTCCCTCTCCTAACAAATATCGAAAAACGCCGATTTATTTGAGCCAGAAGGCAAAGTGGGGTGATAAAGTAATCCATCTCACCCTCTACCAAGCACACACACACACACACACACACACACACACACAATTAAATGACCAAGATTAGAGACTAACTTACATAAAATGGTCCTCCCACTGCCTAATCACTAGAGATATTTTAATTTGAATAAGTCAAATACCAAGATCAAATAAAGATCAACTATCCCAGTTACTTGAATCAGGAAGTTTTAGGCTCTCATTGCAGAACTGGGCTTAACTTTTTGCGGCTACACAAACCCTCTTGGAAAGCTGATGAGCCCATAGAGACACACGCCCAAGGTTTTGTATACGCTCCCTGAAGGCCCAAGGGGTATAGTGTTCATCAGCATCCCAGAGGGATTCCTGAACTCACAGAGGTTAAGAATCACACATCTAAGCAATTTGAAACAGCTCATGATGACTTACACTAAGTAGGTGGCTTTGGACAAGGAATAAAGGCTTCACCCGAATAGCAGAATAGGAGGAATTTCCTCCTAAATAAAAGCTCCTTACAAGACCAAATGCAAAGATGGAGTTCATCAAAGGTTGGTGTCTAACATCTGGTCTTGCTCAATGGGAATGCAAAGAGAAAAATAATCATGACAATAATGATGATGCTCTATCATGGGCCAGACCCGACTTAATTTTCCTTAAAAAAAAAAAAAGAGCAACAGACCCGTTGCTGTGGAGTCCATCCTGCTTCATGGTGAGCCCAGGTGTGTCAGAGGAAAACCGTGCTCATGCGTGTACTCAGAGCTCCAGCTTTCGGGTGAGCCACCAAGTATGCGAATCATTTGCACCGTCCAGACACACTGCACTCAACCCTGGGACTAGCACCAACTGCCATCAGGAAGGAGTCATAACAATGCACAGCATTGTCAGCTAACGACTTGCTCCAGTCCAGTAAGGGACATCGCTAGGCCGTCCATCCTATCTTCAGACTCTTGCGGCCCCCTCTCCCTGCCCTTATCTCCTGGGTTTGTTCTGATCAGGCCAGCCACAACTGGTGCTGGCCTTTAAATGAGTTTTCTCGGTGACACCCGAAGTAAACAGGTGGGCCACCTCACCCCATAGGGAAGACTAATCGAATTTTTCAGATTTTCACACAGGCCAAGGAAAGTGGCGGCTCTACTTACCACTGCCTTAGACTGCCTTTGCAGCCCCGGAGCGGCGCTAGCAACTGCTCCCGGTGGATTTGTCTGAGAACTATTGGCAGCGCTAAGAGAAGAGGAGCGCCTGCATGGTCTTTCTGAGAGCTGATCTGTGGAGAGAGGAAAAGGCATGGTAAAGGGAACCCCTCCTCGTGTTAGAAAGACACCACATCACAGTGCCTTTGGGGGCACTGTTCGAGGCACCGTGGTCGTCACGCTGACTGACATCATTATGAGCACGCCGAGGGGATTGGATCCCACCCTCCCATTTGGTGGCCAATTTCTTTTCCTGAACCTTACTGGCCATTGCTCTCCAGTAAAATGAAAAACAGCGACACAACCACATTTTCTCTTAACCCATGTCCCTACAACTCTTCCCTCCTGAACCAGTTACAGCAGTATGCCCTGTGAGCCAGGGCAGAACTATATTGAGTTCCAAACAGCTGTCTGTGGCTCTTATTACTTTGAAATATTTCAAATTTCTCTGTTTGCTGTTTGGGTCCATAACTGAGTGGTGCTTTTCTTACTGACATGTAACACAAATGTGTGATGGCGTAGAGAATGGAAAATCTCCTCCTGAGGCTGTGTGTGTGTGAGTGAGAGAGAGAGAGAGAGAGAGAGAGAGAGAGAGAGTGTGTGTGTGTGTGTGTGTGTGTGTGTGTAGGGGGTTGGACAGAGAATGAGAGTAGGCGCTCGACTGGGATTTTCAGTATGCCGTGAGTGTACGAAAGGGAAGAGCTGGCTTCTTGACAAATTCAAATGAGGGTTCTTTTCCCCTCCGTTTATTTTTGAAAGATATAAACTGCAAACGTCTAAAGCCCAAACATTCCCTAGGCGACAAGCTCAGTATCCAAGTAATTTCCTTGATGCTGTGGGTTTTCACTTTCACCTCCTTGTATTTTGATAAAAATATCTGTGGCAAGGGGAAGAGACGGTCAAACTTGCCGGGAGAGTTTGGCAAAGGAACGTATCATTTGTGGGGCATCCTGTTCAAATTAGACGATCCCCCCGCCCAGAGCTGCAGAGTTGTCGTGTGTGTTAAATATAGTTACTTGAATTTGCTCTGCTGATTCTGCTGTAGGCCTTGCAATAGCTCAAAATCATTTTTCCCCCAATAGCAAAAGAACAACCTCAGAGGAATATTTTTGCATGCATTGTTCTAGTAGACCGCTCCTCTGACTAAAAAGTGCGATAGCTTGATCGCTTGCTAGATGCTCCACCCTGTTTGGCACTCCTTTATATTGTCTGCTCTTGTTCTCCTAATTGTTTCCTGTGGATAAATAAAGTCTCCCTAAATAGACTGCCATTTTCTGAAAGGCGGGGCTACATCTTCCACGTCCTTTGGAGCACCTGGTAGGACACCACCGGTCTGAGCAGTGAGTCTGAGGTTGGATCTAAGACCTCTCAAGTTCATTGGGTTTGAGTTCCATTCCCATGACTCAATCTCCAGCTGGGCAACTGTGAGCTTGAGTTTGCTTACCTAGCATAAACCAAAACCGTACTCACTGCCATCGAGTCACTTCTGCCTCATCGGGACCCCATACGACAGGGTGGTTTCCGAGACTGTAACACTTTCTGGGAGGAGATTGCTGACCTTGTGTCCCCTACTGGTCACCAAGACTGCTTTACTTGGAATCAGACCAAAACATAATACCTGAATCCAGAGTGATTTCAAAGATTAAGTGAAACTGCCCATGACCCTTAGGACAGCCTCCTGTCTATATAACCCAAAGTGCAGCATGTTAAACATTGTGCATGCCCCGTCTAGTGGCATTTACATTCACCAGGCTGTGCCACCGTCACGTCTGTCCGTCTCCCAAATTTTCTCATCATTTCAAAACAGAAAGTGAGTACCACTGAAGCAATGCCTTACACTCCCTCCTGTTCTCAGCTCCTGGGACCCCCAATAGACACTGGACTCTCTGCAGTTGCTTATTCTAGATATTTCACGTCATGCTGGTTTTCTAATATTTGTCCTCTCGTGCCCGACTTAGGTCACCCATCACCATAATGTTGTCAAGGTTCATCCACATTGTAGCCTACATCAGAACTTCATTTCTCCGTAAGGGTGAGTAATATTCCATTGTAGGGTTAAACCACCTTTTGTTCATCCATGCATTGGCTGTTGGACACTCGGGGCTATCTCTATCAAACTCAACCTGTTTTACCTGCGGTTATGACTCCGCCATGGTAAGTAAGATACTATATCACAGACGGAGTGGTATTACACTCCACGTTTATCATCATCTTTGCACTTAATAGAATTTATATTTATTATGTTCCATCTAGTGGGCGTTAAAAATATAAATAGCAGATATTCTTCTCACTATACCCCTGGGTTCCATTTCCTGTGCAAGACTCTCGATGGCCTTTCTGACTCAGAGCAACCCTTTAGAACAAGGTAGAACCAGTGCATAGAGTTTCCAAGGCTGCAAATCTTGACAAATGCTGACTGCCGCCTCTTTCTCGCACAGAGTACATGGTGAGTCCAAACCAATGACCTTTTGGTCAGCAGCTAAGCACTCAACCCCTGTGCCACCAGGAATCCTTACATAGACACAGACATGGACACGTGTGAGAAAAAGGTGGGGTCTCTCATAGAGAAGGAGAAGTAGCAGCTATATTTTGTAAACTTCATGAAAAGAGGGAGTGGTCCTTTCCTTTATATTTTCTGTCCCCTTGGTTAGTCAAATATTCATTTGGTTGGTGAACTCTTTTTTTTAATTCTTCTCATTATGTTAAGGACATTAGAATGGCATCTGCACTAAACCCACTCCTTCGAGTCAGTTCCAACTCACAGCAACCTTATAAAGCAAAAGAGAGCTGCCCTATTGGATTTCCAGGGCTGTAAACTTTCTGGCAACAGACTGCCACATCTTTCTCCTGCCACACCTGTGGTCAACGCAGAAACGGAGACAAAGCCCTCACTGCCACTCAGGATGCCGACTCCTAGCGACTCCAGGGCACAAGACAGACACTGCTCCTGCGAGTTTCCAGGATCCTAACTCTTTAACTCAATAAAGCACTTGACCCCCACTGGGGTTGACGTGCGGGGCAAGGGGAGCTTTTCACACCAAGTGAACAATCCTGGCCATAGTTGGTCATCAGACATGTCACCCAGACCTGGGTGCCTTTTCTTACCTTCTGTTGCTTTGTTGACAGCTAGAAGAGTACTCAGAACCTTGGGAAAATTGATCCCCAAATAGAGGTCCTCAGGATCAAACACCTAGGAGGAAGGAAAATTGAAACTGTGAAATTCTCCTAAGTATTCAACTCAACCAACCAAAGTATCAAAAGGCCACTTCCTCCCGCTCTCAGGAGGGGGGGGGAGTAAAAGCCAAGATGAGACCCTCTGTGTAGATCTCGGGGAGAAATGAAAGCGGCAGCAGAGCCACCTACTGACATGTGGCAGGCGGGCCATCAGAGAGTCCAAGAGAAGTAGTAATGGGAAATGAAAGCCAAGCCGAGAATGGACTGCCTACCAGGAAATGGCCCACTCTTTCCGACCTGAACCTATCAATACTCCCGGCCCAGTTACAGGAAACACGTGTGCACAAGTTACTGCCCACTACCTGCAGAATGTTCTCCACCATCCACACAGGAGAAGATGGAATCTGGTTTAGACTCTAGGCTGCCCTTCCTCCCCACCGCCACCCATTGGATCCCACCTACCCAGGATCCCAACGTCCACGTGGCCCCAACTCTCTGCTCCAGTCTGCCTTTTGCTCCCAGCTGTGTTTCCTGGTTTCTGCTGCGTGGCCTTGCTCCTCTCCACTGATGCACGTGCACTGGTACCTTCACTTCCTGAGTCACTGCCTGGATTTATCCTGGCCTGAGAGGACAACTAGGCTCTCGGCAGCAAAACCCGCCAGAAATACAGCGTTTCACTTGGCCAGTCTCAGCCATCATTCTGGCTATTTATCCCTAGTGAAGATACCAATCAGCTGTAGTTTTGCATACCACCGTGAATTTTAGCATTTAGTCACTGTCTGAAAAGGCACTGAGACTTCTAGTCTCAGATGTCATTGAAACTACAAGCGTTGACAAGCACCAGCACAATCTGTTTATTTGCTAATGAGGTTGCTATACATCTCCATGGGACACACTACACCCACCTTCAGGATGGAAAGTCTCCCTTTAAAACCCCCGTCCTTCCAGGATGTCTACAAATCTCTTGAAGAAAACAGATCCAGCAGGTGATTCGGATTGGCGCTACAGTAATCCTGTCTGGACGTGGCAAAGGAGGGGACGGTGCCTCGCAACATCCAGGGCATCGCCCAGCCGGCCATCCGCCGCCTCGCTTGGTGTGGCAGTGTCAAGTGCATGCCGGGTCTTATTTATAAGGAGAACCACGGAGTTCTCAAAGCTTTCATTGGCGACGCAGTACCCTATACAGAGCACGGCCATGGACGTGGCCTACACGCTCAAGCGCCAGGGACGCAGCCTCTAGGCCTGGACGGCTAACTGGCTCCTGATCGCTGAGAAATCGGATACTGAGAATGCAAATCTGGGCCCGATTCTGTTGAATTGTCATTTCCTTGTTGCTGTAGGTCAGCGGTTCTCAGCCTGTGGGTCGCGACGCCTTTGGGGGTCGAACGACCCTTTCCCAGAGGTCACCCGATTCATAATAGTAGCAAAATGACAGTGATGAAGTAGCAACGAAAATAATGCTATGGTTGGGGGGGGGGGGGGCGGGGTGTCACCAGCACATGAGGACCTGGATGAAAGGGTTGCGGCCTGAGGAAGGTGGAGAACCGCTGCTGTAGAGATGCCGAGTACATATTGATAATGTGGACACGAGATCACCAGCCTTGAGGTTTCCCCAGCACGCTCCAGACCCAAAGGACTTAGTGCCTGCCCCAACAAAATTAGGCTTGAGCTGGTGGTTTGCTAGTCAGTTTCCCCAAAAAGAAGACAGTGTCTTATATTAATTTTTGCTCCCAAAGATGCGCTAGGTCTTATTTTCAGGGGATGTCTTATGTTTCCATGAAGAAGAATACGGTACACACTTATTGTTTATTGTTTTATTTTATTTTATTTTATTTTTACGGTTTTCGGCTGTCATGTGGCTGTTTCGTGTTTATTGTTTTATTAAAGGAGACCTCGCACTTCCTGTCTGCTCCGGCTGCACTGTGGCCAATATTGAGCTACACAGCGGCACCTGCCGCTATGGTCCGAAATCCAGAGTTACGGTAACTTGGGGGGAGCTTATTTTCGGGGAGGTCTTATTTTTGGGGGGATGCCTTATATTTCAGCGAGAGGCAAAATTAAGTAGGTCTTATTTTAGGGGGATGTCTTACTTTTGGGAAACAGGGTATGGTCCGTGAATGTGAGGGACATGGCCACTCCGGTTCAGAAATCCAAAGAGCAGCTACATGGCCGTATTACTGTTTCCTGCGTCTGATTTTCAGGGGGCAGGAGACATGTAGACTAGAGCAGGAACTGATCCACAGGGAAACCACAGTCAACACACATCCCGAAAGAGAAATAAACCTATGTGACAGCAGAGAAAAAAAAGAAAGAAAACAGATCCATAGGGGACCTGATCGGTAATGGACCTAAGACTGTCAAGGGCCTCTTTGTAGAGTCATTCGGTGCATTTCTAATCTGCAAATCTTCTAGGTTCGGAGTCAAGACAAATCTGTATCTCTTTTATACATGGTCTTGAAGACCAAAATGTCTGTCAAACGAAAATGTATAGTATTCCCTCCCCCCACACTTTGCGAGGTCAGTGAGGAGGAAATATGCTAATATGAGCCTCAGTGGGATGGATTGACAGAGTGGCTGCAACAGAGGCCTTTAACATCACCATGTGAGGATGGGGCAGGACCTGGCAGCGTTTCTTGCTCTTGTACAAAGGGTCGCTATGAGTTGGAACTGACTTGACATCGCCTAGCAATAATCACAATGTGAGCCTCCTCCAATGCGCCCACACTGCGATTCACAGATCTACTCTTCCTGTCATCAATGAATGTTTGCCTTCACCTTGAAAATGACTGAAGCCCCCCAACTGCGTGTAAAAAGAAAGATGCTGATTTACTTAAAATAAAGTAATGCCATTATTACTGCTGATGGAGCGCTGGTGGTGTCATGCTTAAGTGTTGGGCTGTGATTCACAAGGTCGGCAGTTCGAAACCACTATCAGCTCCGAGGGAGAAAAACTGGGCTTTCTACTCCCGTAAACAGTTACAGTCCTGGAAACCCACAGGGGGCTGCTGTGAGTCAGCATTGACTCCATGGCAGCGAGCTTGGTTTTGGTGTCGGGTGCAGAGTAAGTGTTGGGCTGGCTGCTGACTGCAAATTAGGAGAAAGATGAGACTATCTGTTCCTGGAAAAGGATCTGCAAACTCGGCAACCCTATATAGGATCAACGTGGCTATAGGGAGCCTTGGTGGTGCAGTGGTTCGGTGCTTGGCTGCTAACTGAAAGGGCTGTGGCTTGAACCCCACCAGCTGCTCAGTGAGAAAAACGATGCTTCAGTAAAAATGACAGTCTTGGAAACCATTGTCTTCTGCCCTATGAGTCAAAATCAATTTGATCACAATGGAGGATTAAAAAAATATATATGTATAGACTTTTAAAAAAATATAATAGCAAGACTGCTATCCACCCCAGCCCCCCACCCCAAAAAAAAGACTGCTATCCCAAGGCTATGGATGAGGAAGTCATTGGATTTTGGTTCAAAATTCATGCCTGGAGAATGCCCAGTAAATGACTACCCAAGACTACCATCCATATACGTACTGTTTCCATACTCTCTTTGTCTTGTATGCATTTATTCAGTTCTCCCTTTATGAATAAACATGATGGAAAGTGCTGCCCTGTCTCCAAACTTTATTGTTTGTGCAGATAGTGTCCAGTCACCTAAGTTGTTAATCTGTACAAATCGACCATCTAAGAACTGTCCTATACATGCAGACTTTCCTTTTCTCCACACTATTTTAAATTCTGTATATCTGGCTAAATAATAGTAATATCAATAGAACTACCATATGCCCCCTGAGGATCATTTATAATGTCTTTCAGCAAAATACTGTCTTTAAAGTGAACCAGAAACAGATATAAACCATAGATATATGAGTGGATTTTGAGTTTGCATAAAATCATAGTCCTAATTTAAGAATACAGTGAACCCTCGCCACTTCGCGCTTCGACTTCCGCGGCTTCACTCTATCGCGGTTTTTGCGTAACAGCGCATGCTCTGTCATTACTGCCACTGATTGGCTCATGCTGTACACGCTTCTGTCTGCATCGCTACGTATCGGAGCTACGTATCAGATGGATTTTTGCTTTTGTACAGTGTACTGTAATTGCGATTTTTAAGAAATGTTATCTAAGCCCTATGATGGCTCCTAAACGAGCTGCTTCTTCTAAGCCTTCTGACAATAAAAATAAGCGCCAGAGGAAGATGCTCACCATCCAGGAAAAGGTAAAACTTTTGGATATGATCAAAGATGGCAAGAAAATCGTGGAGGTTGCACGCCATTTCGACTTGAATGAGTCTTCCGTTCGCTCCATCCGTAAAGAGGAAAAAAAATCCGTGCTACGGCTACTTTCACTTTCAACAAGGAAGCAAAGCGCATCGTGACAAGTCGTAATACTGTAAACTAGATGCCATAAGTAATATAATAAATAATAAATGATAATTGTAACGTCCAAAATGTTTTACTGTATTTTCCCTTTTTCGTTTAATAAATTGGGTAATACGAGTGTAATGGTGACTAAAGGGTGTTTTTCATGTCCTCTATGCTCTAACTACGAAAATATTTGATTTACAAATAAGGAATCCTACTTCGCGAAGTTCATTTATCATGGTAGGGTCTAGAACCGATTAACCGCGATAAACGAGGGTTCACTGTAATTTGTTCTTATGACACAGCCCTATTCAATACCTGCCCCATGAAGTGATCACTGAACATATGGTGCTATGGAAAAGTATGGTGAAATAACCAGATAGTGTCTGGTTATCAGAAAGAATAGCATTTGGGATCTTAAAGGCTTGTCTTAAAACCGGCAGCCATCTAAGTGAACGCTCACCTAAATCCGCGTGGAAGAAGCACACCAGCCTATGTGATCGAAGAATTGTAAATAACAAAAAACAAACCCGGAGAAGGGAACAAGATTACAGCCTAAATTCTAAGCAACTGGTTGGAAGAAGGCTATGAAAGCCCGAAACCCATTCAGAAGGTCCCCCACTCGGACTAAGACTCAGGTAAATCTCCTCTT